TAAATGTAATTGAGCGGTGTAATTCCATGTTATCGTAAAAATTAAATTAATTAAGGTGAAGCTTATGTAGTTCTGCAAAAGGTAAATAAATTAATGTAATTGGGTGGTGTACTCTGGGAATAAAACTGGTTGGACGAAAAAAGATTTGCGGAGGGACACGGTGGGAGAGGTCGTACTGATTGACGAAGAGATTTGCCTGGCAGAAAAAGGGAGCCTACTTATTTTCAAACAAGTAATAGAGACAGTGATAATAAATATGTAGGGTGCCATAATTGTTGTAGTTTGATAATGTTAAGCACCTATGGCTTAGATAGGTAAATAAACAAATATTTTTATGTTAGAAAACTAAGCATTTAATTATTTTTCTGTTGTGTTACCAATTTCACCGGTTTTCTGTGAGCCGATGAGCTCTCGAGGATTCGGCATCGGCCACGCAGTCGCGCTTCCGGGTGGAACAAGTACCTGTTACGATTTCGCTTCGCTTTGTACATAGAAATAGTTATTAAACCTATCTATGCTTTGAGTATCAAGCAAGTGAGCTGCCTTTTCAGGAAGATCGCTTTGCCCTTTAGTGCTTCTGTGCGATTCTGATGTTGGGAATTGTCAGAGGGACATGTAATTCCTATTGGTTGGAGCATGGATAGACTAGATGAATAAATAGCAAAGCTCTCCACTAACCCAAAGTAGTTCATTTTAATTGACACGCTTTCCAGGGCAAGAGGCTCTTCTGTGATTGAGTCCCTTTTAGCTTACTTTGAACGTTCAAACTCATTACTTTCTTGCAATGTGCACTTTTTGTGAATCCTGTACTGGCCCTATTCTGTGATCATGGTGTTAACTCTGCCAAGTTGGATTTGTTAACATTGCAGCAACCAAGGAGCATATCGTGGGCTAGCTGCAGGATGACTGGAACTGAACATTTTGATATATGGATACTCCGGTGCGTAGCCTTTCAAAGCGAGACTAGCCATGTGCTCTCCATAGCACTCAGTACCTAGTGAGTTGTAACCATCAGCAATCAAATTCTGAGCACCAAAAGATCTGATCAGCGACCAACATTGTCTCAACACTGGCTGCGGTAGAGACTGCCGTTTAACGATTTTGTATTGAGCACAGCCTCAACAACTTTTTATACTCCCTCCGTCCCATAATGTAAGACGTTTTTTGACACTACACTACTAGTGTCAAAAAACGTCTTACATTATGGGACGGAGGGAGTATATAAAAAGTGACTCCGCTTATGACGACCCTATTCTTAACCTCCCTCCACGAGTCATTAATAGCAGACGAAGCTAGCTAGGGCCTATGAGCAGGCCACCGTGCACATCCAGCCTCTGTATTGACTACATTTGCAACCTCTGTATAGGCCTCTGTATTAGATTTCTCTCCAAAGAAAACTATTTATATTAGATTTCGTACTGTCATAGCTGCATCATAGCATAATCTCACAAAGTTTCCTGAAGTGCCCAACGAGGTCTTAATTTCGTCTCTCTCCTCCAACTATTGTGGATGGCGATGCCAGATCCATGATTAACGTGGAAGATGGTCTAAACAACCTGATCAGAGCACGAGCAGAGGTTGCGGTCGCCAGAGCCAGAGTGGCCGCGGTTGGAGTAGCCTGATGTATGGAGCGGCTAGGGAAAGCTGCTAGGGACATTGCTTAGTTGATACTCCCTTCGTCCCGAATTATTTGTCTAAATATGGGTGTATCTAAAATAATTTAGGACGAAGGTGATATATTCGTCGAAGTTTCACTTTAACATAGTTAAATAACAGACCTGTAGAAAAACATAGTTAAATAAATGTGTATTGTGGCATACTGATTGTTATAGTTTGATAATGTTAGGTGTTGACGGCTTAGATATACAAATACAAATATTTTTAACAAAACTAAGCATTTAATTATTGTTCTGTTGTGTTGTTGATTTCACCGGTTTTATGTAAGCTGGTCGATGAGTTCTGAAGGATTCCGCATCGGCCATGCAGCAGGGAACAAGTACCTGGTAGGCTGGTACGATTTCTCTTGGCTTTGTTCGTAGAAATATTTAAATCTATCTCTGCTTTGGGTAATGAGCACCAAGCAAGTGAGATGCCCTTTCATGAAATCGGTTCCCAGTATCAAGCAAGTGAGATACCTTTACATGATTGCCCGTTAGTGCTTCTGTAAGATTCTGCTGTTGGGAATTGGCAGAGATATCTAATTCCTGTTGGTATTGCACTATGGATAGACTAGATAAAAAAGAAAATATCAAAGCACTTCAGTAAGTCAAAAGTAGTTCATTTTGATTGACACGCTTTCCAGGACAAGAAGCTCTTTTGTGGGTGAGTACCTTTTAACTTACTTTGAAAGTTCAAACTCATTACTTTCTGGTAAGAGCCAATTACACCATCGGTGATTAAACTTGATGAGAAAAGTCACTTCAGCGCTAAAACTTGCAGCATACATTGAACGGGTGTCAGAATTATTATATTAAAGGTTGCTCGCATTTTTATTTCTCTATTTATTTTCATTAAAAAAAAATTTCTTTATAAACACACAAAAAAGGTTGCCTGGTGGTCGCCGCTGACAAAAGATCTGCTGTTCCTTGTTTGAGTTACTGATCAGTTCATCTCCGCTTTGTCCACGCTTACTGGATGGAATTACGAAAGAATAAGACTATTAATCAAATTGCAGCAGCAGCAACAGCATGAGAATATACTGGAGCACTATTAAACTCTCAGGTGGGGAGAGTGTAGAGAAAGTGGACGGGCCTCGTGCTGGGTCAAAGATCATGTGGCCTCGTCACCTTTCGCTTAGATTGTGTGGACGCTAGACCATGTGATATAAAGCGAACGGAACACCCACCGCCGCTGGCCATGGCCGTGTTCTTTAAGGGCCTTATTTACCCGGCAGCCACGAGAGGTGGATTGAGCTGCTGGTTCGAATGGGCAATCTAGCATGCAAACAAAACCTAAGACAGCAACGTGATGTATATGGTGACCAAGCCAATAGAGTAGAAAGCTATCAGCTTTGCATTCAGTGCAGTCTTCAGCGCTATAAAATGCCGTGAAATGCCAAACCGGAGAACTAAAAGTTGTCGTTTTATCATGCTTAGTTCTACCTATTGAGCAACCAGGAAGATTTTGCTAGGCTGTGCCACAAATCGGACACACTATCCGTCTATGGACGCGTCCGCGGATATTGATATGAGAGCGGGCTATCCAACACTGATATGGAAGCTTCGTCCCCATGCATTACTGGTTGAAGTTGATTGCGCTTGGGTAGCAACTATCCATTCCAATTCCGTCAAGACCACCCGCATCAGCAATAAGGACAAAGCGAGTGATTAACCGATCCAACAAAAGAGCTGCCCAAGAAATTTAGAATGGAGTTTCGAGAAAAGAAGTGGGAGGACGAGAAGGAGAAGCGAGAAGGGATGGCGATCAAGATGAAGGAGAGGTTCGATGACATCTTGACGAAGAAGTAGGATGGATGTGTTGTGTGCTATGACATGAAGGAGGAAAAAAGATAAAGAGGTTTACCATCTTGATGATCACAACTAAGAGGAAGATCGAGCTCGAAGACAAGCCGGTGCTGTGTTGCGATAAAGACGGGCCATGAGAGTATAGTATCGCAGCACGGGGTGCTCTGTGAGCTGGCCACATCGGTTTCCACTGGATATTCTGTATGCAAAAATGCTACACGTGCAGGCACATTCTACAGGTTTTTACAGGTTGAGGACCGTGCGCTCTAATAATTGCCTATGTTCCGGACGCTTCTGAATGAATTCTTTTTTTGAAATGAATGGTTCCATGGCTGCGCACCGAAGAGATATACGAGTACGAATGATCGTGCTCTCGCCGGTCAGTGCGTTGCATATGTGTACGACGATCGTTGGCAAAGAAACCGTCCAGCCTCCGAGGCAGGCTCGCACGATGGAGGGGTGGCGGAAAAGGCGAGGCAAAAGGTGGGGCGAGGCCTGTTGAGAGACGTGTGGACGGGTGTGGGTCGCATGCAGTTTCATGGCTGCAACCTGCTTTGCTTTCCATTAAATAAATGCGCTAATACACTTCATGTGGGAGAAAAGGAAATGCAAATTCATGATGGCTCAGCCTTTACCTTTTTGCGACTATATAAGCCCATAGGCCCCTTCTCCTCGATCCTCATCTCAAACCAACACCACTCTAACTCAAGCTTATCGTTCGCATCTAGCCTCTGGTTGTAGTCACTCTATCGGGTGCATCTAGCCTCTGGTGGTAGTACATTCAAATTGAGGAAGCAAAGATAGATATGCTGTTGTCAGGCGGCTTCTCCTGGGTGTACCTTGCGCTGCTGTTGGCCTTGCTCACCTTCAACTCCGTCATGGCGGTGTACCACTCCAAGGGCGACGCGGCCATTGTCGCCTTCGTCGCCACCTCCTACCTCGACCTGGTGCTGCTCTTCTGCTGCCTCTGGCTCTACGACAGAGCGGTGGCGGGGTCGGCGTGGAGGAACCGGCTCAAGGCGTCGGTGTGGACTCTCACCACACTGCTCACCTTCTCCTTCGCCTACATGGTCATGGGCACGGCCGGCCTCACCCTCCCCGTCGCGCTGCTCGTGTGGTTCATCGCCGCGGCGACCGGGATCGGTGCCTTCTCCGCCTTCTTCGAGCAGGGCAGGTATGCCGTGGCGTCTTTTCTTGTCTTCCATGCACCGTGCATGTCGATGGAATAGTACTGCATCGCCGCCGTATCCGCCCACGCTCGGCGTCAAACATTCGACGTGCCCGGCCGTGCGGCGCAGCGTGTCCACTTCGATCGACCGCACGGTGCCGCTCGGCGTCCTCGTCCAAGCCACGCTGTGCCCAGCCGTCGTACGCCCCATGTCCGCCACCCCACGGCGCGCTCTTGTGCTCCTCCAAGCCACCATGCACCACGTGCCGCTCGTCCCCACTCACGGACAGTGACATGGCCTCCATAGGCAGTCACTTCTGTAGCCATGAAAAGAGTAGCATGCATGTCTTCATTTCCCATATGCATATTGTACTGTTTATGTTTGTGTACTGCAAATAAAATGCATTTCCTCTTTTTGTCTGCAGAATCAACCCAGCTCCGGGTGAACCCATGTTGCCGTCACCGGTGTAGCCCAAGCTCTGAATCACTACGGGGATATGCTTTTGTGATGCATTCAGACGCTGGAGTTTGCCAAGTTGTGAGCTTACGATGGAGTTCAAATACTGTTGGGTCGCCCTCGTCTTGTAAATATATTTACCTTCAAAGCATGCAAGAGTCCTTGAAGAATCGTTGTCCCTGTCCCTTCTACAATGGGCGAAAGCCCGATCCAGCAATATCGCGTGAGTGAAGAAGGGCAATGCCGCTTGGGGTGTGCGCTTAGGTGTGTATGTGTGTAGTGTGCAATGTAACCGGCAACAAAATAATGAATTGTGTGGTTCAGAAACGAGTGTGTGATCTCTTATGTCTCTGCAGTCCTTTACTCTTTTGAATCACACACAAGGCGTGACAAATCTAGTATTCCATGCGGTTCCGCCTTTATTCTGCGATAATCTATTTGGAAACGTTAGCGCCTGGCGCTACCTTGGGGTTGTCCCTAACTTTTTCTTCACCTCTCTGCAGGCACACATGCATAAGTGATAAAGTGCCGACCTCTAGTTCGCACATGCATGCACCAACCTACGATTTTCAGAACTTTCCGGTGTGCATGTTTCAGTAAAAATTAATCGGTTTCACTGCATTCCGAGACGATGAATAGGAGATATCAATTTCGCACCTAAGTTTCACGTCATGAAAAGGCACGTGAATGGGTGGCCAGCAGTGGTGATAGGTGCTGAGATACGCTATTTGATCGGCTGATAAGGCGATCTAGCTATCCCCAGTGCTGCTGACGCCTGCAGGGCAGTGGAAAGACGTGACGAGGATCGGGAACCCACTCTAGTTTGATTCTCGGCGGCCCTTTCGTGCCTCCACGGAGGGTTGAATCGTCTGTGCCGGTCAGCTTGTGGGGCCAGCAAATATCTTGCCCTGGATTCTCTAGTCGTATACCAAGATTGGTCGGTCCCCTGATGAGTGGACACGGCGCTGCTTTCCTTGGCGCCAAATTAATCCACACACCACCATTATTTTACACTGACACACCAAATTAATCCAAAGTACACCTAGAGCGCTCTAGAGTACCGCTAGTACTACTAACCTTTTTCTCTACGGACAAGATAACTTGGGTTCGTTCTAGCTACTCCTACTACTTAATTAGAGAGCCCATCTTCTGGCATCCACTTCCCATGGCCCTTATCATTCCGTCTGAGATTTTTCTTTTTGCCGACGTCTCCCATTTCCATTACCACCGTCCGTAACACGTTCGCTCATTTAGCCACCTTGATGCATCACTTTTCCATGTTGCTTCACAAAATGCAAACAAACAACAAGCTTTGCTCTCCCGTAGCTTGCCTCCTAGCTAGCTAGAGAAGATACACCCACCTGGTGGCCTGGCGGGAAGGAGCGTGACAAGGCTACTGCCTATGGCGTGCGTGAAGAGAAAAGGTGGCCGCTTGGGACTTCAGCCGGCAGTACAGAAATGCCCACGCTATAGTATAACCCTGAAAAGGACAGAGCAAAGTGTGTTTTTTGCAAGGTCGACAGAGCAAAGTGTAGCCAACCAACATACGAAAGTGCAAAGAACGAACGCTTCGCTAGGATCTTGGGTCTTCAGCAGGCAATATATAAAACATGCATGGTCATTTTTCAGCTAGAAAAATGAGTGCTTACATCTCAACACCTCACCCGTTGCCCGTCGCTCATCCTTGCTTGATATAATAAATCAAACAAAACCATGTCCGTTGGAATCTCGTCGCAGTGGAGTTTGGCTTACGAGTTTTCTCCACATTGTGAATTTTCGAAATCAATTATCAATATTTGTAATACACAATGAATATTCTAAAAATATGCTATAGAAATGTTTATATAAACAAGTGTGCACATTACCACTTGGAATGAGTGGGTAGCTATCTGAAAAACAACCAACAACTCAAAAAAAACAAATGTGCACATTTATTATTCGCCTAATATATATTTCTTGAAAAATAATTGACACATTTGATATAATATGTATAATAAAATATTTCCCTTGAGAAATAAAAATAAACAGCTTGAAACTGCTTAGACCAGCGCATCTAGTGGGCAGCACAACTACGGCAGGTAGTTGTACACGTGAAAACTGATAGAGTAGTGCAAAACCAATCTGAAAGTACTAAATGGATCCCCCCCCACCACCACCACCATCATTAAATTGATGTCCACAGCGTTGTGATTCAAATTTATTCTTTGTCTAAAGTTAAATTTGAAAGTTTGAATTTATGGATTCGGGATGTTATTGAGTTATGCAGCACTAAAACATGACAATTTGGAAATATATGATAGAAAATACAATAGTTTGCATGGCTGAAAAATATGATAGAAAATACAATTCAGGATACTTACATGATACATTTGATGAGTTGGATTGCTTGCGTGTCGGGAAAAAAATAGAGTTATTGGTGATAAAGACATTATGTGGTTTGCATGGCTGAAAAATAATGTTAATGGATCATGACATGGCATAGTTACTGAGGTGTCGACGGTTTGCATTTTAAGATAAGTAGAGGTAGTGGGAATCTACTATTAAGTATACTAGAGGATACCCCGCGTGTTGCTGCGGAAAATGGTTGATGAAATGTGGGTTGATAACATGAGAACTAAAATTAAAAATTCAAATGACTTATAATATTTGATTTTATATTGTTGTAGCAGTATTTATTGAATAACTAGAACAATTAGACGGAAACCATTTTCCAACGCATGATTGAATGTGGTGGTGAGTCTTTTTCCATGCGTGATTACATATTAAGGTGGGCCTTATCCCATTCATTGTTGTATGGGGAGGTGGCATACTTTCATTTTGAGATAAATAAGTTAGTGGGGACAATTCTCTTATGTATATAGGATATGATATATGCTGGAGATATGCCCTAGAGGCAATCATGTATGATGATATTTTTTATGTGTTTATGAATAAAGATAGTCCTTGGACATTATCAATGATGTGTATCAACAAGTACGTGACTTGTTTGTCGGACTATGCATTGTATGATGACTGTCCTAAAAGGTCCCTAGTCGAAAGGGTTGTGTGGACGTGCAACCAACTAGACTAGCATATGACATGGTCGATGGCTTGGTCTCACTAGCCATAGAGCATTGGATGCTAACCGGATAATATGGACTCAGAAGGATCTGGTCGGATTCGACATAGTCGGATCCGAGTCGAGATAAGGTCCGAGTTGGACAGACCCAACTATGAGACGCAACGTCATCTGTGAGTCTCTAGTACAACATACGTTCTATGTCCTAAGACCTGAGCTGGCGCATGTACTCGGGATGGTGACAGGCCTGCTTTGGGTCGACCAAACGCTACTCCGTAACTGGGTAGTTACAAAGGTAGGTTTCAGGCTTGTCCAGACCCATGTTGCGAAACATGGTCGAGCAAGATGGGATTTGCCCCTCCGATTAGGAGAGATATACTCTGGGCCCCTCGTGTGATCCGACCAGGATAAGCATGGTCATGCGACAAGGATTATGAGATAATTCAGATAGTGGTCGGCGTCACTGGAACAAGAAAGAGGTCGGGCTAGCACAAGGATGAGAATCTCGCCTTGAGCCCGACAACATATATCGTGTGGCAAAGGGAACAGAAGTGTGACATATTGTACAGGTTCGCCTAACTAGCTTCATAGTCTGCTTGGTGTTCGGCATGCCTTGCTAGAGGCCGCTACCAACCGTGAAGTTCGGAGATGATCCGAACTGCAACCAAGCCGACTTGAACCTAAGGGGTTGCGCGCTGAAGGGAAGGAACCTACGAGGTCGTATCCGAGGACACTGGTCGATGTGATCCGAGTTGTATTCGGATTGTGACCGAGTAGACTTGTGGGCTTTAGGGTCCGTGCGAGGTCCAAGTGTTGAGCTCACGACGGACGCCTATATAAAGTGGATGTGCGGCACACTCATGCGGTTGATCGCTTCGGCACTGTTACTAGGGTTTGCATATGTGTTGCGAATAGCCACCTTCACTCGCCGCCGGTTGTGTGATCGGACCTAGCAGTCCGTCGCACGACGTTCCTCCTGTACGCACGGATACCATTAGAGGCGGTGCACTTGCGCCGCTCCGGCGATCCTGTTCGCGGGATCCGATCGGCTATGTGGGAGACCGGTAAGGAGGAGGTCGACGGAGCAAAGTATAGCCAACCAACATATGAAAGTGCAAAGAACGAACGCTTCGTTAGGATCTTGGGTCTTCAGCAGGCAATAAAACATGCATGGTCATGTTTCAGCTAGAAAAATGAGTGCTTACATCTCAACACCTCGACTGTTGCCCGTCGCTCATCCTTGCTTGATATCTTTACCTACTACTCGTCGCAGTGGAGTTTGGCTTACGAGTTTTCTCCACAATGTGAATTTTCGAAATCAATTATCAATATTTGTAATACACAATGAATATTCTAAAAATAGGCTATAGAAATTTTTATATAAACAAGTGTGCACATTCCCACTTGGAATGAGTGGGTAGCTATCTAAAAAACAATCAACAACTCGAAAAAAAACAAGTGTGCACATTTATTATTCGCCTAATATATATTTCTTGAAAAATAATTGACACATTTGATATAATATGTATAATAAAATATTTCCCTTGAGAAATAAAAATAAACAGCTTGAAACTGCTTAGACCAGCGCATCTAGTGGGCAGCACAACTACGGCAGGTAGTTGTACACGTGAAAACTGATAGAGTAGTGCA